GACTCTGGCCATCCTGGGAGCCGGTCTAATGGGGGCAGGCATCGCCCAGGTGACTTTGGACAAAGGCATCTACACCATCTTGAAGGACACTACAGAGGAGGGCCTGAATCGAGGCCAACAGCAGGTCTACAAAGGGTGAGTAGGACACTGTGGCGGCTGCTTGTCAATGAGGGCTGCAGAAAAATGGTTATATTGTTAATTGATTAACCGTGTGATCAGGTGATCAACTAATCAATTAGTTGGGCCAAAACACGGTTTAAAGAAAAGTGCAAATGCTTTTTAAACAAACAACAAAAAAAACCAGATATCTTAAGTCACAATTGTAACAGCAACTTTACACAGTATTTTTGCAAAAATGTGGACCGTCTGGCTGGGAACTGGGAGGGAGCAAAAATGCGGACTCTGGGGGCCCCCAGGACCGGGTTGAGACATGCTGATGTAGAGAATCACTGTCTAAAGTTGACAATGGCCAAAGAAAGATTTACCGTCTCCACCATATTTAACTTGCTCATATTTCAGTATACGGTGTATTACTGTAATACCGCTCAAGCCAGTAAAAACGAATAATTCATAAATGTTTACGCATTTTACTGCACCACATGTATTTGTGTTTGCAACACATCTGTTCTCTGTTGGTCTGGAGCGATATTGTTGCTGTACATACGTGCCGACTGCACAAGAAATCATGCACAGACTACGATGGCAAAAGTGAAGTATGAGCAAGGATTAACACACCAACGTTCACGTTGCTAGGTGGTGAGGTCATATATGCAATTTACGCAGCAAACTTACAAAACGCAACAAATCAATGACAGAATTCATTGTCACTTATTTTTATCGCTGATTTTATTATTGACATTATGAATACCCCACTTGAGATTTCGCCCCACTTTTTCCACAGCCTGAATGACAAAACGAGGAAGAAAACCATTACGACGTTCCAGAGAGACACCATACTGTCCAGTCTGAAGGGACAGCTGGACTACGGCGGGTTTGAAAACGCGGATATGGTCATCGAAGCTGTTTTTGAAGACATTCGCATAAAGCACCAAGTCATGAAGGAGATAGAAGCTGTAAGTCATCTTTCAAAGGGGGTTGGGGGTTCAGTTCCCACTCCCAGTTTCCAGATTTGCATGTTCTCCCAATGTTGTATGGGTTTCACATGGGTACTCCAGTTTGCTTCTTGTGTGTGTGTGTGTGTGTGTGTGCGTGCGTGCGCGCGGGCGGGCGCCCCCTAGCTTCTTATCCAGGATCTACCCCGGCATTGTGCTGCCTGGGTTAGGTTCCAAGCCCCCGTGACCCTGACTAGCATTGTTGCCTTCAGACCTCCTCGGCTGATGGTTTGAATCCCATGGTTTGTGAAGTTTGCCTGTTGCCTTGTGTTATGCAGCCTTCTGCTGGGAGTTCCGGTTTATTTGAATGACATTCTTAAACATATGTAACAAAATACTGTGGATAAGCTGTATGGAACATTGCAGAAAACGCCGTTCGTTTTGATGTTCAGGCCTGCTTTAAAATGACTGTATGAAAATGAACTTGCTTTGTTATATTAAACCGTAACATTTAGCCTTGAGTATCAGAGTACTGAGTAGACGGAGATCTCTGAAAAAGACAAAACATGCTTTACAGTGACCGTGAGAGAAAAAAAGCCATCAATCGTCAGTGACGTATTTTCCAGTGCTGAGAGAAGCTTGGGGGGACCAAACAGAGCAAACAAAGCGGGGCACACACTGGACGGCATCCCGGTCCATCACAGGGGGCACCCAGAGCAATTTAAGACACCAATTTGTCTGAACTTACACAGATGCAAGGACAAAGTGCAAACACCACACACAAGCTGGGACTCGAACCCACAACCCAGGGGGGGATAAGGCAAGAGATCTTCCCATTGAGCCACTACACTAGACTGAGGAAATTTTAAAGACTGAGTGTTTACAGATGAAGGACATATCAAACCAAGAATATTGCTCAATATGCAGTTCTGTACTTAACAGCTGAATGTGTCGTGTTTAGAAGTTGTTACAACTTGCACAGCCCAGACCAGAATAAGCAGTTGGAAGATGGATGGATTTCAGTGTCCTGAAGTTGTAACAAAAGCAATCAGCCAAGTTGAGAGTTTGTCTATACGTAAACATTCCCAGTTCAGGTAGACCATCCAGCACATATTATCCATCTATCTTACAGTGGATTATCCTGCTCAGGGCTGTGGGGGTTGATTGACCAGTTACCAGTTAATGTATACGAAGTAGATACGATTGTTTACGCTGATGTCGTCACAGTTAGTTTCCTGTTTTAGGTCATTCCACCTCATTGCGTTTTTGCGTCCAACACCTCCGCTCTCCCCATCAAAGACATTGCCTCCGCCAGCAGAAGACCAGAAAAGGTGAGTGAGATGTGGACTTCATGGTTATGATGAGTGCTTCTCGATTACAGCTATGCTATGCTAACGCTAATTATATCAATAATGCCTTTATTCCCCCCAGGTCATAGGGATGCACTACTTCTCCCCGGTGGACAAGATGCAGCTGCTGGAGATCATAACTACTGACAAGACCTCGAAGGACACCACGGCGTCGGCAGTGGCAGTTGGCCTAAAGCAAGGCAAAGTCATCATAGTTGTTGGGGTGAGAAACCGCACTGGTGTCCATCCCCCGTCCCACCCTGCCGCCACTGAGTCTTCCGGCCCCCTTGTGCCCCACCATCAGTGATGACCTTCTGCTGTCCCCCTTATTCACAGGACGGGCCTGGATTCTACACCACGCGGTGTCTGGCTCCCATGTTGGCTGAGGCTGTAAGAGTGCTCCAGGTCAGTGTGTCCTCTATTCAGGTTGGGTTTAAAACCAGAAGTGCGGAGACTTCGGATCGTGTTTGCTGTGATTTTCGTGACCCTTTTTTTGGGGGCCTCACATTTTGTTTTTCTCCCGTTATCCAATAGGAGGGTGTTGATCCCAAGAAACTAGACTCTCTCACGACGGGCTTTGGGTTTCCGGTGGGCGCGGCCACACTGGCTGACGAGGTGGGCATCGACGTGGCCGCACATGTGGCCGAGGACCTGGGCAAGGCTTTTGGCACGAGATTTGGGGGTGGCAATGTGGAGCTGCTGAAGACCATGGTGGACAAGGGCTTCAAGGGTATGGTTTTCGTTTTTGAAGGCGTTTCCTCATCACCATTATTAACTGATTGCTTCCTGCTTCTACCAGTATACTGTTTGTTTGTTTTTTTTTTTTTTAATTCATTTGTTTCTGCAGGCCGCAAATCTGGAAAGGGATGCTATGTTTACCAGGCAGGGACGAAGCACAGGGAGGTTAATCCCGAGCTCGGAAGCATCGTGGAAAAATTCAAAATGGCTCCCAACGCAGCAGTGTAAATTAGATTTCTTATTTGCCATCTGTTCGTTGACCTGTCAGTGTGGAGAATGCGTGATTGGTGACGTGCGCTGGCGCGTTCTGTCCCCGCAGCTCCTCTGACAGTGACGTGCAGTACCGCCTGGTGTCCCGCTTCGTGAACGAGGCAGTGCTCTGTCTGCAGGAGGACATTCTCAGCAACCCCGTGGAGGGAGACATCGGGGCTGTGTTTGGCTTGGGCTTCCCCCCCTGCCTTGGAGGTGAGATCGTCGCCATCTTTTTTTTTTTCCATAAGGGTTGTTAGCATTTTTAAATCATAGCTAACGTATCATCAGTATTATACATTGTCAGTTTGTGCAGTGCAATGTCCTTTTTACTTCAGTTGGGGGGACGGGGTTAGATGAAGTTTCCTATCGCCTCCATCTCTTTTCAGGTCCTTTCCGCTACATAGACACATTTGGGGCGGCCAAGTTGGTGGAGAAGATGAGGAAGTTTGAAGGAGTTTACGGAAACCAGTTCACTCCATGTCAACTGCTACTTGATCATGCCAAGGATTCCAGCAAGAAATTCCACAAGTAACTGAAGAAGTTGCCAACAAGTGCTCTTACTGCCTCATTAAACAGGAGTGACTGATTTAGTTTTAATCATCAGTCAATTACTTGTAACATGAGGACACTTATTCAGTGTTTAAAAAAAAAAAAAATCAGGTGTCCAGGTTCTTGAGATGCCTAACTATGTATATTAATTTTTTTGTGGTCAGTTCAGAGTCTCATAGAATCCCCTGCATTTTTTATGTAGTCTAGTAAACAGAGAAAAATAACAGCTGCTTCTGGGTACAGAGTATTTTGATACATTCAGTAAGGTTTGAGATTTGACCTATCGATCACATCGGCACTGAGGTATGAATGACTTGTCTAACAATATACAATGTGAAATAAAGGGCAAAAAAACCCTCATTGGTTTTCTTGTGTTTTTCTAATCAGCATCAGACCGGAAATCTGTGCTCCTTATACCTTAATTCAGATCAGGAATGTCTTGTAGAGCTAATGTCGTTCCTGGCGCAGTCTTTGTATTGTTTTATTAATATTTAAAAATGCACTGGACTTCAACAATACTAGAAGGTTCCAGGGGAGCTGAAAAAAAGCATGAAACGATTCATTCATGTGTAGTTCACGGTTACTACATCTTCAGACCCCTGGACCGTCACAGCAGAGAGTGTGGCTGTATGTGTAGTGTGACCGTAACGTGCACTTTCCTTTTGGGGGTGCAGAAGCTACCACTGACAGGCCTGAAGGTGGGGGGTACTGTAAGAAGAGTTCGTCAGTGCTGCATCCCCATAAACGTCCAGCACTGTACCAGGAATGGTACTGTCCATTCCAGTGTGCACCAGAAACCACACACATCAAATGTATTCTAAAGGATTTGCAAAACTTTAATCATTCAAAGTGTTTCAATCTGTCACTTTGTGCAAGTTCGGTTTATTCCCACCCCCCTTCACAAGAGCAGCTTCTGTACAACCCCACCCCTTCCCAAACCAAAAAAAAAAACATGCAAGTATATAACTAAAGAAACCAAAACCATACATGTAAAATAAATCCCAGTGATAAAAATGATAGTTCTCAGTCTTGCGCAAGGACAAAAAAAAAAATCAACAACTGCCTACAGTTCCTTTTATTTCCTATATTATGGTATGTGGAAAATAATACTTGTCAAGTTACACATGTTCAATATGCCACCCAAGTGACTCTCCCTCTGTGGGTTACAATCCTACTCCAATGTAAGGCACAGGACAAAAAAAAATCAAGCCAGAGTTAAAGCAAAAAAATCTACCTGTCCATCCTGACACTCTCATATACGGATAATTGCAAAGCCCAAAGAGTTAAACATAAATCCCACTACTGTACAAAAAAAAGTTAATGCTAAAAGTGTTTTTATTTCATTATTTCCCGAAAACAAGTGTATTTAGGGTCAGTTGAAGTGCACAAGCGTCCATTTTCCAAAGCACTCCCGCTGAAGTAAATGTTGTGCAATGTTTTGCCTACAGAACCCACCCGAAAAAGACGGCCGACAGACCGTGCAGATTTTATGTTTCAACCTTTCGATTTTGTAAAACGTAAGCTGATATGGAAAAAAAAAAAAAAAGTTTATTTTAAAAGAAGAGGGAGAAGGGGGGTAGGGGTGTTTAATCAGATAACAGTTTACAGTTGGGTTTTTTATTTTTCCGTGCCCAGAAATCTGACAGGGACACAAAGAAAAAGGCGACGGGGAAGATGAACGAGGCTTAGCTGCAGCACTTGCCCTTCCAGCCAGTAACTGCTCCCACGGTGCTGATGTCTACATTTTCACTGTTGGGTTCTTTAACAGGCGTCTGCAGAGCAATGACAAAAAAAAAAAAAAGAAGCTCATTAATTCCACAGCAAAACCGTAAAGATCCATAGTGCGGCGAGTCAAACGTTTTCCATTGTGTGGGGCACATATTTAGTACTACACTAAGGGGAGGCTTAGTGGCTCGTGCTAACAGACACAGGCGATCAGTAAGCTACTTCGGGAATGTTTCAGCAGGGAACGTCAGTCAGCACAACTGCAGCGCCGGGTCTTTGGATCAATGTGATGCTTTCAGACGTGCCAGGACGTTTGGGATCAATAGCCCTCGTGTTCAAGCGAAATGACGTTTCAAATACTAGATAAACATATATGCTATATATAAGGGGAAGGTCGCCAAGTGTTACATAAATGAAAAAGTCACACTTCCACAACACAGAGAGCTTGCCAGTAATGTTTAACTCACCTTTCGAAGTATGTCTTCTGCTAACGTGAGAAAGGCCTTCTCGATGTTGATATTAGCTTTCGCGCTAGTCTCGAAAAAGCGTATGCCGTGTTCTTTCGCGATCTAGAGAGGCGGCGAGAAAAGTAAAGGTGTCAGGGACCATGGCCATGGGGTGTAATGCTGCAGACTAGGGATATGATCTATGGTCCTCAAGGTCCGAGCACTGCTGATTTTCCAGCCCTCCTTTACCCGTCAGCCAGGTGTGAAGCCTCTGTGGCCAATCAGAATCAGTAATTACCTGGGAGAACTGAAAACACGGCCTGGATTTGGGATCGAGGTCCAGATTTGATGAGCCCTGCTACAGACCATCTGAAGTACATTAACAACCAGCAAGCCAAACCCTCCCATCTCACCTGCTCCCCCTTCGACTTGAGAACCACGCGCTTGTCTTCAATGTCACACTTGTTGCCTAGCAGCATCCGTTCCACATCTTCATTTGCATGCTAACCAAAACAGAATTTCTATTAATCAGACTCGCATATCAATTAGCTCAAAAGTTGCACATAGATATACAGCATTTTTGCATAACCAGTATCTTCTGTTGTCTCAAAAATGTAGTAGCTTGTGTCTGTGTCAAATGATTGCTTGTGTCTGTGCCAAATGATTGCTTTTTAGGACTTTGTTAATGACAGCTTTGCTGCACACTGCCTAGTCTTATCCGAAAATCCTAATCAAATTGTCTTTTGGGTGAGATACGGATTCATTTGTACTTCTTAAAATATCTCACCTCATCTATGTTTCGCAACCACTTGCTGATGTTTTCAAAGCTTTTGGCATTTGTGATGTCATAGACTAGCATGATCCCCATAGCTCCTCTGTAATACGAAGTTGTAATCGTGTGAAATCGCTCTTGTCCTGCCGTGTCCCTGCACAAAGGACACAACATAAAACAGTATTAATTTAAAAAAAAAAAAAAAAAAAACCACAACAAAACCCTGAAATTGAATCCTATCAGCTTCAGAGGTACTGCTCCTCATCTGAATGACACGATGACCGATATTTCAACGGTTCATATGAAATTAACAACCCAATAACACACTACACACTATAAAATGACCCAAACAGAATCCAAAAAATGTTTTCCCAGAGCAAGATAAAAGAATGTACAGTAAAATTAACAATATATACGTGGGAAATCCCAATACCAAAAAGTCTTCACAAAATCTCAAATGTTTAGCTTTTGCTTAAAATGTTTCAGCTCACCATATCTGTAGTTTTATCTTCTTTCCTTGTAATTCAACTGTTTTGATCTTGAAGTCAATCCCTGGAAATACATATGGGTTTACTTAGTTAACATTTGTGTTTTCCACACACACATGCAGTGAAACTGGTAACAAGAAATTCAACCAATGCCTCTCAAGTACAGCGTCGTCACTACACTGAAAATCACACTATCACACATTAACACACACACACACTGAAACATTTTGAAATATTTCATCAGAACACCGAATTCTGTCACCAATGACAGTCTGACAAATTTATGTCTTCCAAATTATATAAACAATGCATTTTACATGATGTGTTTAAGGGAAGGCATTTCACATTTATAGAATGCCTGCTTGGGGGAATTGACGGTGATTTCTCATTAAATTTGTATCTTTATTAACAACAAGTAGATGCTGTAGTAGTTCATTAAGTTCCTTGTGAATCCCTCTTTTTCTCACTTGCTGTCTGAATGTCACAATGTGGTCCAGGGGAAACGTGATCTTCAGCTACTGGCTACTTATATAGAGAGGGTATGACAATAAAGCAATTCATCTGAGTCCGGCCATAATAGTTATGTCAATATATACAGGCACACCTTGCATGGAATTTTTGCAGTCAACAGTCCAGCCCAGGTTACCTGCCCTATTTAAGGACTTGCTATGATGAGCAATGTGCGTATGCTGACTAGCTGGTTAGCTGTGCTCACGTTATATGATCCCTAACCAATGCTCTCCTGACTTGCTGGTTAGCCACATTCTCTAACCCACGCTCTCCTGACTAGCTGGTTAGCAGCATTCTCTAACCCGTGCTCCCCTGACTTGCTGTCCGGAAGTGCCGTCTGACTCGCAGCCGCCCCTGCCGTGCAAAGCGAAACCCTCGCCGAATACCGGAGACTCACCCCACCCCCACCCATCAGGCTAAGACCGGTGACAGAAAACTCTCTCAGTCTTAGACGGACAAGTAAAAAACTGCAGCCTCTAGTTTTCTGGCAAGTTTAAAAAGCGAAGGAAACCCAAACCGACCCAGTGCCTTGCGTACGTCGGATAACCCTGCCGTGCCCGGCAGACCATTGTACGGGTAGGAAAGACAGGCAAAGACATAATTTCAACACAAAACCCAGACAAATAACCCAATATGAGCAGTACCATCCAAACAGGAAGCAGCGCAGACAGTAGTCCTGTATACAAAACAAGCAAGGAGAGCCTTTAGCAAAATGGCCAGCCAGCCATCGAAGCCACCCAGGCAAAATAGGAAGCAGAAATCCAGCCAAAGGCTGCGAAATCCAGCAACTTCAAGCATCTTACAGATTTTTTTTAAACTTGCTTTACAATAAAAAGGGACGGTCTCGTACAGACTAGGCATGTTCGAGTTACCTATAGTGGAGATAAAGGTGGTGTTGAAGGCGTCGTCGGAGAAGCGGAAGAGCACGCAGGTCTTCCCCACACCAGAGTCCCCGATAAGGAGCAGCTTGAACAGCAGATCATAGGTCTTCTTCGCCATTTGGCATTTAATGGAAACAGTTATTGGACAGTGACTGGATTAAAACTGAACAGTGAAACACTCCCGACAGCCCGCTTTCAATTCAACCGCCTTTTTACGTTCGTGCTATATGCCAGCAAGCCGACTAGGAGCCTAGTTGGATAATACTAGCTACGAGTATAGCTAGAGAACGACAACTAGGTGGTGCGCCTTCCAGCTGTGTAACGGATTTTATTTCTTACTATCGATCAATGGTTGCACTCCCGGTTTTATTTTCGATTGCTCTTTCATCGGTCGGGACAAAATGGCTGCCACTAACGTTACGCTAGCGAGTTAGCTAGCTAGCCATTTCAGATTTCTTCTGCCCCCTTCATGCCCCAAATATACAATCGATGAGAACGACTCCTTTTTGTTCCGAAAGCTTAACATATGTCTTACTACCGTCTTTTATAATATTATTATATTATGACTTCATTGCAGCCACGCTTATACACTGACGACTGCCACAGCCTTCAAAAGGTACCTCTGGGTGACAACCAAACGGACACGCCTTGTTATCGGTTCTTGGACGTACGTTAGTCTTTCCATTGGTTTACGAGGTTGTCTATCACAAACACCACAGCCTTTGATTGGAGCATTGTAGTATCCATCTAGAATGAGAGGGCGGGCACAACATTGACATATACAAGGAACAAACTTGATTTAATGGGCGTCTTCATATGGTTGTTTGATACCGAAAAAGAGAAGTCGATTCCTGAAAAGATACTTTTAGAAGGTGCTGAGGAGCAAAAGTCATTGATTTACAAAAAATAATAATAATTGCTAGTCAATGTAACTATAAAACTTTTCTGTAGCAGCATCGAATCAAAGAAATGACAATAGAACATTATAATGAAATTATTTTAATATGAATATGATGATTTCGCGACAAAGATTTGCTATATAAATGTTAAATAAAATAGTATACATGTATTAGTATGTTATAATATAATAGCATGATGTAATACATATAGCATAGCTGCGGGAATACGTAGAAATTGACCTTGCACCTACATTTAGTGATATGTATTTTTATTATTATTATAGGGCTAGGAATCCTGATATATACCTTCAGTGTCTGAGGAAGATTTATACGATTTAGCAACTAAATGTGCGCATTACAAAGCATTTCCAGACTTGTTTGTTTTTTATGATATCAAGATTCTACTCGCCAAGTATATTGTTCAATATTTTGCACATTGCGTAACCTTTTATTGCATACAAGAATTAGACACTTTAAACTTTGTTTCTATGAAATAATCATTTTTAAATGGAAAATAAATCTATAATGTGCATTTCAGCCGAATTTTAAATGTTATAATAGGAATGCATTCAGCCATGCACAGACCTGCTTCCTTACATTCATTCATGTGAAATGGTATTTATTGCTTAAATCCTCTTTATAGCTTCAGGAAAAAAATATCAGCTGGAGAAAATAAATTAGGGTGCGACAGTGTTATTTCCGTTTACGACAATTAATGTCTTTATTTTTCGGAGATATAGGACACGACATTGCTCCTCTGATCTTAAACGTGCCCTGCAATAAATCACGGGGATGTCCGTCATTCGACCCCATTTAACTGTATCACTTAAACTCTTTACGCGACATTTAACCCCATTATCTTACCAAAAAAATCCATGCAATGTTTCCTTTTTAACATATTTTTTTGCTCTCGTTGTACCATTATACCATTTAATGCCCCAGAATAAGAATAAGGTGTATTTTTAGACATGTTTAGTTTAGACTTACAAAAATTTCCATTGTAAAGGGCAGATGAGAGTGTAACGGCACCACATTCCCACACTAGTCATAATTTTTTTCAATAAGAAAATCAGTGTTATTTAAAATAGTACAGAGCCGGCTATAAGCGCTAAAGCATAATGCTGGTAATTACAGGTGAATGTGTTTTTGCTGTATGCTGCGGTCTTGCTCGCTAGGTGGTGCTCTAGCGTAACAGGAAAGTCAGGATAACGTCAGAAGTCATTTTAGTCTAGACCAGGGGTGGGCAATCTTACCCAGGAAGGGGGTTTTCGGGTTTTCGCTGCAGCTCCCTAATTAGATTACCAATTAAAGGACTGATTAGCTGCAGAGTCGTCACACCTGGGTTTGAACAGCTGACCTAAATGTTATCCCAAAAATCTGCATACATACTGGCCTTTGAAGATAGGATTGGCCACCCCTGGTCTAGACTCACAACACAATAGGAAATATTGGGATGCACATCTTTTAAATTCTTTACAGAGCAGGTCATACAGAGCAGTTTTCAGCAGGCTCAACTCTCAAGGTTCTGCATTTAAGTTCTGTCAAAATATTTTCCAAACTTTCATGTATCATGAAGCAAATGAATGGCTTAAACCAGATTTTGGTTAACATGTTTGATGCTTCCGAACCAAATAATTTAATCATCTAAATCTATATGCTGTGTCTCCTAGATATTAGATATTAAAGCACATTGTTTCAAGTGCAAGAGGACTTCATACCTGTTTCCACCTAAACTAAATCTAGGAAACTACAACCAAGGTGGTTTTCTAAGGAAATTAAGAATAAAGTCAGGAGGAAAAGGGCTCTCTTCCACAAATGGAAATTAACTAACGATTTCAAAATAAAGCAGGAGTATCTAAGTCTACAGGTTGAGTTAAAAAACATTAGACTCTCTAAGAGGACTGTAGCAAGAAAAAATGCATTAGAGGCTAAGGATGACAATAAAAGTTTCTTCCAATATTTTAACTCCAAAAGAGCTCTAAAAACTGACCTCGGTGTGTATGTTGATGCTTCCATGTCCCACTCTTGCCAGTGTGGGGAAGCAATTAAAAAGGCCAATAGAATGTTGGGTTATATCTCTAGGTGTGTGGAGTTTAAGCCAAGGGAAGTGATGCTATGATTATATAATTCCTTGGTAAGTCCCCACCTAGAATATTGTGTGCAGGTTTGCTCATCATACCTTAAGAAGAACATTGCTGCCTTGGAAAAGGGCTATGAGAATGATTCCTGGTCTTAGAGGAATGTCTTATGAGGAGAGGTTAGCTGAGCTGAATCTGTTTAGCCTCGAGCAAAGGAGACTAAGGGCGGACATGATCCAGGTATATAAGATTCTAACAGGTCTGGATGCTGTTCAGCCAAATACATACATACTTGAACTTGTGGCCATAAGTGGAAATTAGGTGGAGAACATTTTAAAATGAATTAGAGGAAGCACTTCTTTACACAGTGTGTAGTTAGAGTATGGAATAGTCTTCCTGCTAGTGTAGCGGAAGCTAAAACCATGGGTTCCTTTAAATCACAGCTAGATAAGATTTTAACAACTCTGAGCTATTAGTTAAGTTCTCCCCAAACGAGCTTGATGGGCCGAATGGCCTCCTCTCGTTTGTAAATTTCTTATGTTCTTATGTGTAAATTGAATTTAAAATTCTTTGTATTGGACAGAGTATACCTACAGCGTGCCATCTTGTGCCTCATATACAAAGTATGTACATTATTATTACTGTTGTTGTCATTGTTGTTGTTATTGTATGTAGCACACATATGGTTTCCCTTTGGAACATTCTGTCTGGTATCCAGGTTTTCAGCTTTGCCAATGGTTTTTAAATTATTGTTGGCCATCTTCTTCCGCTACATGCCAAGATGTCCGTAGGTGTGAATGTGTGAGTGAATGGTGTGTGAGTGTGCCCTGCGATAGGTTGGCACCCCATCCTGGGTTATCCCCTGCCTTGTGCCCTGCGATGGGTTGGCACCCCATCCTGGGTTATCCCCTGCCTTGTGCCCTGCGATGGGTTGGCACCCCATCCTGGGTTATTCCCTGCCTTGTGCCCTGCGATGGGTTGGTACCCCATCCTGGGTTATTCCCTGCCTTGTGCACATAGCTTCTGGCACAGGCTTCGGACCCTATGTGAACCTGAATTGGACGACCAGGAACAGAAAATGGATGGATGAATGGATCTTTTTGCGCCTTTTCCAAACTATTATTGGATATTTTCCTTGGCACATCCCAGGGCACTAGTTAGATAGCTTTAGTGCTTCAGGGTTCTGGCTTAATTTAATCAGGAGCTTTCTTGTTTATTTCCGTTAGACAGATCGATCAAATTCCTAGACTGTAGATCCATTAAAGATTCAAAGATCAGAGAATTGTTGGAGTACCTGACATTTAGCAACGTATGAGCTGGTACCAGTATCCACTGACCTCCTTCACACGTGATACTGAGAAAGTACTCCAAGAAGTACCACTAATGATAGCAGTGAAAGAATGCAGTGGCTGTGAAAATGTATTATCTGGTGACCTGGGACATATTTTAATACCCGCTGAAAGAACAATGCATCTTTCTCAGCAATGTTTAATTACATTTCTCTCCCCTGACATTAATCTGTCAAAATGCATTTTCATATATATATAGTTCCTACCTTAGACTAAAGGCTATGACAATGGATATTCATGACTGGTGGTCAAACTGCAAAATTATTATTATTTTATGTAAAAGATATTAAAAATACCGAAAGTGCACTTGAGAGATAAATCTATTTAGTGGCAAATTAAGATGGGTAATGTCACAAGAAGAGGGTTGAAACGCTGCAAGAAGCCGCCCAGATTCTCTTC